CGGTATAGATATTGCTTATATATTGCCACAGTGTTTAGATATTTTTATAATTCTATTTACCCTTATATGTGTCATCTTGCACGATTGTACCATAAAAAAATCCCTAGTTTGTGAACTCATTCTCTGACAATGTCAATAAACCTGATTCTGTTCCTGAAAAAACTGCTGTGAAACATTTTGTTTCTATAATTTCTATTTCTATATTTCAGATTAGATTTTAAAACAACACAAAGTGGGAAAAGAGCATGAGAGAAAATGTGTTTATTGTTGTCAAGACAATTCATTTACAGATTTTGCATTTTCACAAGTTTTGTGTTTCATTTTTGTTTTTCAGATTGAGTTTAATCAATTGCATTCATTTACAATCAAAGTATTCTCAGATCATTCAAGCCTGCTTAAAAAAGTGCACACTCTTGATGAAAACAATGACCAATAAATATGCAGTTGCAATACGTTATATATGTTTTTCTGGAATAAAGGGTTATTTTTGGATTTGTTTCTGGATTACTAAAAAAAAAATTACAATCTATGCAATGTGCTTTTTTTTTTTTTATTAAAGAACAACAATGACACACTTTACTCTACTTCCAGGTGTGTTGACTATTTTAACTGTTCAGTTGTTAGCATTTTAACTGGAAACTGAAAATAAAAATAGGAATCTTCTACAGTATGTCATACAGTTAAAGAAAAACCTAAACTTGGGCTACACAAGTTTGCCAAAAATAGAAACTGCATTCATGTTCAACCAATATTTCTACTTTTATTTAGATTTTTCTTTGCACCAACCAAAGGGGAAAAAATAGAAAAAAAGCATCTGAATTTTTTTTTTTTTTTTTTTTTTTTTTGTGGTTATCTGCTGCGGACATACTGTAAGTGGACTGGTCATGTTATTGTCCGACTGATGTGTGGGTTATACAGGCCAAACATCTTCCCTTGCCAACCCAAATAATGAAATCCGTTTTTTTTTTTTTTATCTTGACGAAAACCAGAAATATGGTCTGCCTGCATTCATGAACAACTTATGTTTGTGAGACCCCCTACCCCTCAGGACCCCCGCCTAATCAATGCAAAAAATAACGACAAATGGCTTTAGCAGGTTATTCAGAGTTGACGCGGTACTTTGCAGACAACTTACTCTCTTGTTCTCTGACAATAGAATTCAACCACCACCATTTACAGAGACCCCCTCCCCCTCACAGCTCAACTTTGTGGTTTCAACACTGCAGCGAAAGTTTCCTGATATGGGGAAGAGTGACTTGAAGGACTGCATTGATAAGATCAACGAATTTCTCCGTACAACACGCAAATCATCCCAACGACTCTCAATGTAAACCTGTTCAGTATTCATCACAATAAACACATTTTCTCTCATGCTCTTTTCCCACTTTGTGTTGTTTTAAAATCTAATCTGAAATATAGAAATAGAAATTATAGAAACAAAATGTTTCACAGCAGTTTTTTCAGAAACAGAATCAGGTTTATTGACATTGTCAGAGAAGGAGTTCACAAACTAGGGATTTTTTTATGGTACAATCGTGCAAGATGACACATATAAGGGTAAATAGAATTATAAAAATATCTAAACACTATGGCAATATATAAGCAATATCTATACCGTATATCCAGGTCTGGGACGGATTTTAGCAGGGGCTTACCGGGGCTGCAGCCCGGGGCCCCGGCATTCCCGTAGGATTTATATTTTGTGAATGGATAGTGTTAGAATTTACCGTATTTTCACGACTATAAGCGGACATAAACGTCTTTTTATCCCTTGAAATGTGCGGTGCTCCCTTTGGTAAGGAGACCAGGTGGGGGTTTTTTCCACTCATCAACATCGCTGTTGATGCAGAAGCAGCGAGTTTAAAAATAAAATTAATAAAATTGAACAATATCACACCAAGATCCCCAATAAACCTGCTTTTCAGTTGACTGCTGATCCACAGGACAAAAAACTGGTCATAATCAGGGAAGCAGACAGACTAAAGAAAGCTAGGAAACGTCTCACCAAAACACACAAATAACCTGGCGCTGATGGGAGGCAAACAATCAGATTAGAACCGCAGAACCAGGGAGACAGGGAGCAAGAAGCAGAGGAAAAAACCAAACCATCAGCGCCAAGATCATGACATAAAAACCCCATTTCCATTTCTTTCGTTTTTAAAATTAAATAAAAAAATGAAATGGCAAAAATCCAAACGTGTCTGCTAGTTTAAAGTCCATCTTATTTATTTTAATATTTAACGAAAACATTGCAGATGCTTCACACGCACACAAAATGACAGAAAGATCCGAGCGTTTTAGTTTCTATATATATATAATACCTTTCAAAACCTATGAGTGTTTTTAAAATCTAGTGATTTTTTGAAAGAAAATAAAAGAATAAAAATAGTTAAGCATTTTAAAAGGAATTTTAAAAAAAAGGAACATAACAGCATTTTTTAAATAAATGATTTATTATGAGAACATATAATTTCACCATTTATTGGGGGTAATTAATTGAATGCTTATTTATTTATTGAACATGTGTATATTTATTTATTTATTTAGATTGGAGTAGATGTGATTAGATGAGCTTTATTGATCTCACAGCGGAGAAATTCACTCGTCACATATTGGCATAGAAGTTACTGGAGGTGCAAACAGGGAGGAAAAAGGTGCATTAAGATGCTTTATAAAAAAAAAAAAAAAAACATTTAAGGCAACTCGGCCACAGTTGGGATTGAACCCACAAGCTGTTGATCTAGAGACCACTCAGCTTATGCAGATGCAGATAAATCGAAATAACAGTTCTCAGATAAGATCGGAGGTGTATCTATAACTACTATCAATCTATCTATAAATATTTTCATGAAATAAGATTATGCAGTCCCAATGTTAAATTAATTCATTAACTTTATTTTAATCAAAAACAAAATAAAATAGAACAATATCACACCAAGATCCCCGATAAACCTGCTTTTCAGTTGACTGCAGGCCCACAAACGTACAGACACGGTGTCTACTGCAAGTCTCTGACTAAAGGAGCTGGTCAGCTCCTCTTTTTATACAGGCTCATGCGTGAATGTCCAACGAATAACTCCAATTGTTGTTTCAAAAATAGAAAACCTGGTTACATTCTAACTTTCATTACTTTATAAAAAAAAACAAAAAACACTTAAGGCAACTCGGCCACAGTTGGGATTGAACCCACAAGCTGTTAGTCTACACACCACTCAGCTTAACCACTGCGCTATAAGTTCGCAACACGTGACACCTCTCCCAGTCTGCTAGTTGACCAGACTGGGAGGGGTGTCACGTATTGCACGGCAAGAAAGTAACACACAAAAACAAAGCTTTCAACGGCACTTATATTTTACAAAACTAAAGAAAATATATTTTCTTACATACCCTTTTGAATAACTTTGGCTTATCTTAATGAGGAATCAACTTTGGATATGATTTTAATTTCAACATCACCAGCCGCAGCACTGTCTCTGTCGCCTTTCTCTGGTTGCGCTACAGTCCGTATCCCCGGCTCCAACTTAATTAATTTTATTTTTCATTAAATAATAGCGATGCAGATAAATAGAAATAACAGTTCTCAGATAAGATCGGAGGTGTATCTATAACTACGCAACCATTTTCATAAAATAAGATTATGCAGTCACTTGACTGCATAATCTTATGTTAAATTAATTCATTAACTTTATTTTAATCAAAAACAAAATAAAATAGCACAGTATCACACCAAGATCCCCAATAAACCTGCTTTTCAGTTGACTGCAGGCCCACAAACGTCACCCTCAGCACGGCAGAGGTCCCAAGCGCCACCTGGTGGTTGTCCGGGTACATTGCAGTTCTTTTTGAAATAAAAAAACTGGCCTCAGGAAATACAACGTGATTCACGTGGGAATCACACAGGAATCACGCAGGAAACCGTCCATTTCCAACCAGTCCCCACTGTATATATATATATATGTATATATATGTACAGTATATATATATATATATATATATATATATATATATATATATATATATATATATATATATATATATATATATATATATATATAGAATTGAAATTTCCTCCTTGTGCACATGTGGGTTTTCCACAGGTACTCCAGCTTTCACCGAGAGATTTTATAGAATAGACCTACTGCTGTGAATATGTCCAGATGCAGGGGTACTCTAACTCTATATTTCAGCCGACCCTTACAGGAGAGGGTCATGCAGGTACATAAACCTTCCCCCCAGCTCCTCTGTGAACATTTGCTTTTAGTACCTCAGGTTCTATCTGCTTTATGTTTTTTAATGTTGTATATGAATCATTTCTGGAGCCCTTGTGAATTCCTTACACTTTAAAAATAAACATACCCTGCCTTCTTGCTTTCATCTGCTTTCTGTCCCTATTCAACATCCCACTGAAGCATTCCTTCTAAGCAATAATTACATCACTCTGGCCCTGACTCGCATTTCTTTCTATTTTCCAAAACTCATAACGAATAAGAAAACTATTTTACCTTTATATCACAAGCATTTTGCCAATGCAATTTATGCTGCCTTTACCTCACTTATACCTTTATCTGAAATGGATTTGGATTAAAAAAAGGTCATGTTGATGCAAAGTGCAAATACATACATCAACGGGTGTTCGTTTGTATAGTTGACAGGTGCAATTGCAAAGTAGCATGTTCCATTTAATAAGAAAGTATTGAAAAATGGATTACAAGGAACATGACTTTAGGCGGAGAAATGGCAAAAAAAGCTGATATTATTCAAAACTAACAAAAACGTGTAACCTTTTACTATTTCTTTTTAAATTCATAATGGGACTTTATGATATAATAAAACTGCATGTGCAGAATCTGTCAATAATATCAACAGTTCTGCTTTATAGAGATGTGATGCAATAGGATGTGCAGATATAAAACAGACTAGATTGTTAAGGCTTGCATAGCGCTTGAGAAACAACTAATACATAAAAAAAGAAAAAAGAAAGAAAACATGCGTTGTCTTACTTCAACATGTGCACGCCCTCTGGGGTTGTGGGCTGGTTAAAGCGTCTCATGTAGTCGTGCATCTCAGGGAAACTCTTCTTCATGTAATCCTCAGCACTGCTCTCCCTTACGGTCCCAAAACGAAAACCCAGAGAGGGATGGTGCAGCTGGGGATGTGACACAGGAAGGAGATGGTAAAGAATAACATATTGATGGTTATTGATGAGTAAATGATATGATTCAGATTAAAGGAGTAAAGAAAATATAAGATAATTTTACAATAAATGGCCTTCTTATTGCTCCTCTAAATTAATTGCAGCTTTGAATTCCCCTAGTGATATGATTTGTTGATATGAAAATCACTAATTTCTGATGAAATATTCTACTCGTCACAAAGAAATATTTTCTTGTCTAAGACTGGTTAAATGCCTAGTGTCTAATAAAAGTATAAGCTTGAGTAAGACAGGCCTTCAGCTACCACCAGTTTAATAATTATTTAATCTAGTCACGACAAAGTAGCGCATATTTATGAATTGGAAGGGCAGTGATGGTTTCAGCATATTTTATGGAAAAATCAGTAATACTTGTTGAACTTTTCTGGTCATCTTCCCAATGTTAATGCTTGAGGAGTTGCAGCTTGTCTCTTTCTGTGTAACTCCCATTTTTCTCTGTTCTTTATGTTGTTTTTGGCTGCTGTAATTTTTATTTCACCCTGCTATTGATTTGATTCTTAGATGATCCTTGTGCTGCTGTATGTACATTTCTATATTAATTCTGTTAGATTTCCTGCCATCTTCCTCTCTTGTCTGCTCCTAATACTGTTGTCTCCCGTTGGCTTTATTGCTCTAAGCTGTTCCTCGTTCCTGCTTACTCTTTCCTGTGTGCTTCTCCACTTTCCCACCTCTGTTTAAGCTGCCTGGTTGGCATTGCTCGCTGCTGCTCTATTATTCTGTCATATGCATGATTCTCCATTCTACATCCAGTTTCTCCTTTATATTTTACTGCCTATTTTACTGTCCGTGTTCCTTGTCCAGAGTTCCAAGTACATGGCTGTGAGATGTGCTATTTCTGATGAAATTTTCAGCACCTCTCAACTCTTGCTTCAATTTGTGTTTCTGTCCTTAAACAACCTAAACATGACACCTCTTGTCTTTTGAGCATGTATTTACCAGCTTTCACCATCTAGAGATGGAAGTCTTTGTAAAACAGCTCAAGCTTAGTCATACTGAAACAAGAGCATGCATATATTTTTGAAGCATTGCAAAAGATATCATATAAACCTTTAGTCAGGCCTTTGACTGAACCTTTCTTAAAAAAACATTCTTTGACTACCTTTTAGCTATGACCTGTTGTGTAGGGATACATTCTTAAAGAGAGTCAATAGCTCACTATATTATATTATCCTCTAACAGGTTGTCTTTTGAGTTTACCCTGTTTTAAGCTATGCCCACTGCATAATGTGGGCCCTATCATGTTTTACTGTGGGGACTGTGTGTTCTTGGCGATTTGTTGGTTTTTCACCACACGCAGCATGTTTCATCTAGGATCCCATCAGAACACCTTCTTCCATATATTTAATGTTTTTCCAACATGACTTGTCCCAAATTTCTTATGTCAACCTTATATTTCTTATTTCTTCTTTTCACTCTTCGATGAAGGCCAGCTACAGCTACAGCTAGTAGTTGTCCTATCAACATTTTGCCACCTGAGCTGTGGATTTCTGCAGCTCCTCCATAATTACAGTACCCCATTCTAAACTGCCTCTCTGTTAAAGTTTGCTTTCTTGGCCTGTTTATGAAGATAGATTGCCATTTCCTTTCACTGTTCATATGGTTGGTTGGTTAAGGATGGTGTGTTCAATTTTGGGAACCAGTTTGCAATATCAGTCTTGGTAATGACCTTTGGCTTCATCATACTGTCTTGTAACAAATTTTCCCTGACAAATTCCTGATTCATAAAATTCATCCTTTGGAATTGACGACTTGCAAACAACTAATTGCACTTTTAAGGCGTAACCAATAGAACCAGAAGGATCACATGTGCATGCAGCTGTGTTTTTACAGTATAAGAATGAGAAAATCTTGTTAAATATAGTGCATTTCCCAATAATGCACTATATTTTCAGCTACATAAAAACAACTTAAAATATCCTGACATTGCATATGGTAGCCGACAGCACAAGTGGTTTTTAATTTTTGTCTGATCACTATGATGAATAAAGTCCTTCCAGGTATAAGCTTGTGTTCTTGAAAGTCATCTTACCTTGTCGTCGTGAATCCCTGAAACCTGTTCGAATGTTTTCTCTCCAACCATCACAGCAGCAAGATTGGCCGTATAGCTGGACAGCACCAGTAAGCAGAAAATAGCCCAAAGGTTCATCAAGAAACGTCCCGTCCAACATTTAGGAGTCTGAAGAGGATTTAGAACAGAAACACAGGAAGGTATTTATATACAGGTGCTGGTCATAAAATTAGAATATCATGAAAAAGTAGATTGATTTCAGTAATTCCATTTAAAAAGTGAAACTTGTATATTATATTCATACATTACATACAAACTCATATATTTCAGATGTTTATTTTGTTTAATTTTGATTATTACAAATGACAACAAATGAAAATCTCAAATTCATCATATCAGAAAATTAGAATATTGTGAAAAGGTTCAAAATTGATGGCCCCTGGTGCCACACTCTAATCAGCTAATTAACTCAAACCACCTGCAAAAGCCTTTAAATGGTCTTTCAGTCTAGTTCTATAGGCTACACAATCATGGGGAAGACTGCTGACTTGACAGTTGTCCAAAAGACGACCATCGACACCTTGCACAAGGAGGGCAAGACACAAAAGGTCATCGCTAAAGAGGCTGGCTGTTCACAGAGCTCAGTGTCCAAGCACATTAATAAAGAGGCGAAGGGAAGGAAAAGATGTGGTCGAAAAAAGTGTACAAGCAAGAGAGATAACCGCACCCTGGAGAGGATTGTGAAACAAAACCCATTCAAAAATGTGGGGGAGATTCACAAAGAGTGGACTGCAGCTGGAGTGAGTGCTTCAAGAACCACCACACACAGACGTATGAAAGACATGGGTTTCTGCTGTCGCATTCCTTGTGTCAAGCCACTCTTGAACCACAGACAGCGTCAGAAGCGTCTTGCCTGGGCTAAAGAGAAACAGGACTGGACTGCTGGTGAGTGGTCCAAAGACATGTTCTCTGATGAAAGTAAATTTTGCATTTCCTTTGGAAATCAAGGTCCCAGAGTCTGGAGGAAAAGAAGAGAGGCACTTCATCCACGTTGCTTGAAGTCCAGTGTAAAGTTTCCACAGTCAGTGATGGTTTGGGGTGCCATGTCATCTGCTGGTGTTGGTCCATTGTGTTTTCTGAGGTCCAGGGTCAACGCAGCCACATACCAGGAAGTTTTAGAGCACTTCATGCTTCCTGCAGCTGACCAACTTTTTGGAGATGCAGATTTCATTTTCCAACAGGACTTGGCACCTGCACACAGTGCCAAAGCTACCAGTACCTGGTTGAAGGACCATGGTATCCCTGTTCTTAATTGGCCAGCAAACTCTCCTGACCTTAACCCCATAGAAAATCTATGGGGTATTGTGAAGAAGAAGATGCAATACACCAGACCCAACAATTCAGAAGAGCTAAAAGCCACTATTAGAGCAACCTGGCCTATCATAACACCTGAGCAGTGCCACAGACTGATCGACTCCATGCCACGCCGCATTGCTGCAGTAATACAGGCCAAAGGAGGCCCAACTAAATACTGAGTGCTGTACATGCTCATACTTTTCATGTTCATACTTTTCAGTTGGCCAACATTTCTATAAATCCTTTGTTTTTATTGGTCTTCAGTAATATTCTAATTTTCTGATATGATGAATTTGAGATTTTCATTTGTTGTCATTTGTAATCATCAAAATTAAACAAAATAAACATCTGAAATATATGAGTTTGTATGTAATGTATGAATATAATATACAAGTTTCACTTTTTAAATGGAATTACTGAAATCAATCTACTTTTTCATGATATTCTAATTTTATGACCAGCACCTGTAGATGCATCAGGCAATGATATTTTAGAATTTTTGAAATACAAGATTGCTAATCATATGCAACATCTGTTCTTTCCCCCTTTAAAAATCCCAGTTATTTCCTTGATAAATCAGCAAAAACAAAAACGAGCTTGGAGAATCCACTGAATAAACTTCTTTCAGTACATGGCTAAATCTTTGTATGAAATTGCCTGCTTAGGGGGGAATCCACCTCCTGAAAAGTTTAATCATTTAATTACTAAACCAAATTAAATCCATTTAGAAAAAAAGAGAAATAAATTCACTTCTGTTTTAAAGCTTGAAGATTAATGGGACGTCAAAAATAGAACCAGGTTATAACCCACTTTTACAACAGCATGAAGAGGGTTTGAGCCCGCAGCATAATTAGTTGGTTTGCTGAAAAGGGAATAAATTGATACTTTATATAAACATGATTTTTTTCATGAACATGTTTGGTGGAGGATTGTCATCCTCATTAAGTTTAGATGCTACTCTATTGCTTTATAATGGTAATATAATAATAAAGGGGGGTTGAAATGCAGACTCAGCAATGTTTTGTGTAAATTGAGTCCTTGTTTCCAAGTGAATGTAAGATATAAATCTTGTAGAACATGTTTTAATTTACTGTTTACAAATATATTTAAACAACAAGCTGAATGCAGAATTTTCTGTGGAAACTGTGTACTTCATCACAGTGATGCACACCCGAAAAATAATAAAGCATTGTTCAATAAAAAGCTCATCAAGCAGGATTCAAAATAGATCCCTAATTCACTCTAACTCCATCAGTTTGACAGCTTAGCCTACATTCTTCTAGTTGTATGCGTGTGCTTTTCATGGGATAAAAAAGCTTCAAGATTAGATGATTTGTTGGCACAACACAGTGAGAACACAGGTTTTTTTGTTTGGTTGTTAGTAGCACGGATGCTCAAACTGTATCATCAAAGCAGAAAATGGATATGAATGTGAAACAAGCCGGTTTTTATAGTGCTAAGAAATGAATAATACACAGCATATGCGCTTCTGGTATATAAAATGATAATCCACATTTCTGCCATAGCGGCCAAAGTCTTTAAATAAAAAAAAAAAAAAATAGTTTGGATGGCAAACCATAAGTTTATGAAAGAAAAACAAGCTCTAGTGGCCAATCATTGTATCATTATTTCACAGCTTGGTTTAAAGTTAATTCAAATGTAACTCTTAACCCCATTTTGTAACCAAATATCAGAATTTCATCCAAACCTATCCCGATTTATATAAACACTGTATCTATTTTCATTGTCTTTGTTTTTCTATCTTGGTTTTTAAGGAAATATGAAGGTTAAAATCCGTTATACCTTGATTTTAATTGGGAATCGTTTTCTCAAGACTCTAAATTATACCCATTAGAGCTGATTGTATTTCTGATTGACTTTATGAAATATAACAGATTATAACTCCTAATTAAACCAAAGCTGCTATGTACAACCTCCTGCTGGTTGATATTTTTTATCTATTTTCTTACAGAAAGCTATAAAGGAGAATACTTAAAGAAATCAAACAGTTTATCCATTCTATGCCAAAATGAGTGTGAAATGTAAAAAGCATAGGGAAAGGTCAGGTACCAAATGAATAAAATGGTGAGATAAATGCCTAATTTCTTATAGAAATGATAAGATTTTAATTATAAACTATTATTAATAATATGATTATAATTTATGAGAATACATCCTTGTATTACAGTATTTACACAGATGTTCATGCTAACTTAAAACAAAGTAATACTTAATGGTATAAAGAATATATTTACAGTTAATCAGAGGAATTTGGGGTAAAATGGGAACACATCAATACAACTGGATAATATTTAGGAGAGCTTATCGAAAAAAAAGAAAATAAAATAAAAACTTGATCATTACTACATTTAAGCTTAATGATCCTGATCTATGATGCTTTTTGTTTTTGGAAAATATCAGTTATTGATAAGTCAATACCCTTTCCTCCATTTTCCCACACTCTGTAGCTCATGGCTTGTTTTGGATCGACCTAAAACATTGAGCCAACTAATTCAGAAAAATCCTCTACAAATCCGTTTGTAAAGGCATTGATGCTCGCCTGTTTGTTTAAAAGAGCTCAACAAGCAAAATAAGAATGCCAGCTCGGTTCTGGGAACTTTTCTAGAACCTCTGGAGATTATTTCACAAAGACAAATTCTTCATAAAGTAAAGAAGATTATGGCCAACAGTGGGCATCCTCCTTCACCTCTGTTTAAAGATTTTTAAACGACAGCAGAGTGTCTTCAGTCTGAGAATTCTCCAGATCCGGTTCAAGAAAGACCGATACAGAAACTCCTTCCTGCCCACAGCTATCAACACCTACGACACCAAAATATCTTATGACTTACTGCAACATTTAATTTTCCTTTTGGGTTCGATACATTATTTTTTTATTGAATTGAATTGTGATAGCACAATAAGAGACTGGAAAAAACTCTGGTATATGCTCTTTTTCATAATGGGCTGGGCTTCAGTCCCCTATGAACTATTCCAAAACAAAAGCAGGATAGCTAATAGATGTCTGAATGGATTAAATAAAATTTCAGTGCTGAACTTTAGTGATAGATTTGCTTGCCCTGCCCTACACCCATAATCTGAGAAAACATCACTATTTGGCTCAGCACCCGGAGTTTCATAGAGCAGCTGAAGGACATTTTAACAGCTCCTAAGGCTGCTAATGAACACAACTGTTAACTGACATGTTAGCTGCTGTAAAGATCAAACATGACCTTTGAGTTATGCAACAGTCCTTTGATCACTTCTCTACCTTGATATTTTCAGCAGCTTTATTTAAGGGACAACATGCAATTACACATTTAGAATGCTTCATGATGAGCTGCAAACTCAAAAAGGGGACAGCCCTAAATTAAGGAAATGACACTTGCTGCATGAAAACTTCAAGTTATCATACTGATGGATCTGGGAAAGCCTGACTTGCTGAATGGAAAACAAAGAATGCACAGAGGACGGAGTTATCATTCATCCCTATTGTGGTTGGACACATGTGCCAATGTGACTGTGGGTGTGATACAATCTGTCACGTCTGACACGTCTCAGAAGAATGCTGTTATTGCAAAGGCGCATTTAATATCTTTACATATTTATGTCAAACAAATGACATGAAAACAAGATGCAGGAAAAAAGCAAACACATTTGTCTGTCAGAGTTTAGTACTCATGCTCAGACTTTCTTTTTTCATTTTACTGCAGTGTGAAAATAACAACTAAACATTTCAGGGTTTTTTCTGTAAATATATCCCTAATGGGGCTGTGAATTTGAAATTCATGCCTAAAACAGCCGGAGAACTCCATCCCTACAAAGAAATCTACAGCTAAGAGAAAACAACTACAGTAAATATTAGGAAAAATATGAAACAGTCAACAATTACCAAGCAAATTCACCAGTTTCATACTATTTTGTTAGGCTCAACAAATGGTATAAAAAAAAGTATTTTTTTTTTTTTATTGCTACTGTTTTGGTTAAGGGCATTCCTGGTCTTGTTTACATTTTTGTGTCCTGACTACATTTCTACCTAGTCCTGTCTGAGTTTTAGACATGGTGAACCGAATTTTTACAAAATGAGAGCTGCAGTATAATTTATCATGCAATTTAGGCAAATGTATTCTCTGCATTCAAATAAGTTTTACTACATCAATTGGAAATGCTGACAGCATCCAAAAACAGAAAACAGCATCATTACACACTGAGGGTGAAAAGTTCATAGTGATGAGAAAACATTTTTCCATGCATTTTTGGATGTTCATCTTTCTGTGCAATATTGCTAAATGGGTTAGATCTTTTCAAAACCAACTGTCTCCTTTCATTCACTCTGCCTACATCTAACACTAATGTTGCTCAGGTTTAGTCTGCTAGTTCACTGCTTTGTCTTATTTACTTATTAACAGCTGGTCTGATTTATCAGACAAAATGAAAACTTGAAATTTTGCTTACATGAAAGTTGGGTTTTGTGGCAGAAGTTAGGTGCACAACTGCAACCAGTCGGTCTCTAGCTATTTTATACTGTAGGTTAGCTGAAATATGATCTACAGTATTTCGTTTGAATATTTTAGCAGCAGGATTAACTTGATCACAACATTGAATGTTGCTTTAAACATATTGATAATAGAATAATAAAATATATATTTGTGTTAGGGCAGTATCGGTTCTTGTTTTTATCTGCATTTACTCCATGTCTTGGTCTTATCTTGTTATTTTGTGGTCTTAGTCCTTTTAACTCTGTCTTGGTTAGGTGGTCATGACCACAACACCACCAAGGAAAACCCACAGAAAGCTTCACAAAGACCTGTAGACATTATTCCATGAAAATGATCAGATAAGCTAAACTGTAATTACAGCTGTTTTCTCTTCATAATAAACTTGTAGACTGGATTTATTTTAAGAGGATAAATGAGAGACAAGATTACTTTAAACGTTTTTGTTAAGAAGACACATTGAAGGTTGATGGATTCTAAATTAATAATCTCACAAACACTTCAAATGAACTATCAGTTTGTCTGAAAGTAAGACCAGAAAGCTGATAGATTCCCCTACTCAAGCATTCAAGTCACACTGTAGGAATAATGTATCTACAGATCCCGTTGCATAGGTGAGGCCCCTAGTGGCTTCAAGATGTTAAGTCTGTTTTTCACCAAATGCTTGAAATGTTTCTGTTATTCAGCTTTTTATTCACCATATAAGGAGCAATTTATTTAGATTTCTTTGAATGTGTGGATTACTATTGTTTTTATTTGTATGTGGAGTGATTTTTCAGCCAACAGCCACAGAACTATATCTATAAGACAAATCTACTGAACATCACCTTCAAACTCTTTTCCACAATTACACTTTGAACTCTGTCTAAGAATGTATCTGTCAGCCTGATGTTACCTTGTGTTCCATCACCTTAGCAACCCTTAAGCAGTCCACAGCTCCTGCTTCTTTTTTTTTATATAACCTTTTGTCTGACTACTTTAGGGAGTTGACCTGTAACCGTTAAATCTTTCACCACTTTCATCCATCCCTATCATTCTGTTCTAAAACTCCCTTCGTATCTGTCAACACACTTACCCTTTCTCTTTTCTCTCCCTGTACGTACATTACCTCCCCGTATCTCTCTACTTCATCACTGCCTACCCTCTTAACCACTCTGCTCTTCATCTTTTCATTGTTAACACTCATCGCTATCATTTTCCTCATGCTTTTTCTCATGACTTACTCCTTACTGTTTTTTGTTCTCTTTCTCTTGGACTGCATCCCTCTCTCTCCACGGCTTCCTTTGCTAATTTCTATTTTCAGACAACACCTGCATGATACCTACTTGCCACAGAGGGAGAGCTTCTTTACCTTGGTGGCAACGGTGCGTCCAAAGAGTATTGCGTAGCAGAGATTGAGGGCAGATGAGTAGGAGAACACACGCAGCCTGTTCCTGCCATGGGGAGTCATGCCAAATGGGCTGTTCCACTCATACAAGGTGAGGAAGAGTGCTGTGAGGTGCAACGTGACAAAAATGCCCACCCACATGGACCAGTGGAGCGGCCACATGAAGGCACCGATAGGCGCTGCCGTGTCCCGGCTACGAACCTGAATGATTAAAGAACAAACAAAACACTTCAGGAAATTAACTCAATAAATTCCTTATTTTTACTTTTAAGTACAGAACTCAATATGTCTTACTCTTTTTCTAGAATACAATCCTAATTTATACCAGTCTAATTACAATTACTTTCAAGCAAACTGAATGAATTGCTTATTGTGCATGCATATTTTACAAGAATGCCATTTCTCTGTAATTGAGTTCTTATTTCCTATGTACTTTTGACAGTGGTTAAGCTACTGTGACTTTTGTTTTAAACTTTTATAATTAACATTTCCTCCACAAAGCTCCACTAACTAATTGCCAAAAAGAAGATCTTTCTCCCTCCAGAAGACTGGGATTAAGAGTGAAACGCACAAAAGAATTAAAGGTTACATCGTGTTAGGTCTTTTCTGAAACAGTAGTGATGAGATAAAAAGATTCTGTAGGCTTAAACAGGGACATAAAATCTAGAATTTTTTAAAGCCATATCACATACAAACATGAACAAATTTCTTTACACCAGAATAAATACATGTGAGAGGCCTCTGAATAAATAAATCTTGCAAAAGAAAACGTTGCAGTAGCATAATTTCACCAATACATTTTTTTACTGACTCCTTTTATAAAATGGGGAAAATTATTACATGTAGAGAAATAGGTGTTTTAAGAACATTTCTGTTGGCACCCCATTTGGCATTCCTCCAGCTTTAGAATACATATAACCAAAACATTTTAACAAAAAAAAATATTAACAATTTTAAGCTTTGATACCAGAATTCCCAGACTGGTGGAGTAAAAGGGAGAGGTGAAATCTATAACTCTGCTTCTGGCAGAGTTAATGGAGAAAGAAGTGACCGCCATGTCAGCTGTTCCATTCAGGAGGTCCCCCACAAGGCCGGTCCAGCGTCCCGTCCCACTCAACGCACCATACTTTCCATCTCCCACAATATAAAGGTCAAAGGTAAATCCCATGTCCTCTGCCAGTTTTTCCAACAAGTCAATGCAGTATCCATAGCAGCACTTCCTTAGGTCTCCCGGTAAGTCTAAGGAAAGAAAAAAGAGAGATAATGATTTCAAACCGTTCAGACATTCATATGCATACTTTGTAAGTGCAGTGGTTGCACCACTGGGAATCTCTATACAACAGTGATTCAAGAAAATTGCTGATGGTACATAAAAGAGAAATTCAGCCTGGACATTTTAATGAACCTGGCACAAAATCCTCGGGTTACATTTACTAAAATTAAGCCTAGAATACTAAAAATAAATAAATAATAAACTCTTAAAATATGTATAAAAACAGACAGCTGGGAGTGCAAACCAAACTTTTTGCTATCTTGATTTCTTTGGCAAAGTCTTTTTGCAATCTTAGTTAATTAAAAACGGTAGTCTGCCAACTCCTTTAGGTTGGGCCCAGATGACTCCATGAATCTAAACCCATAGACAACCCTATGAAAACTTGTAATTTGCCATTTATAGCTCTAAAGGGTGCTTCATAAAAAAAAAAGTTAAATTTCCTTATTAATGTCCACATAACATCTAGTGCTAAAGACATATACTGTATGAGCTCTCTTGGTTTGGGAACTAGTCTGAAGTTCTATCTATGCAAAAGGATAAAGTTAAAGTTGGTATATTTGGAATTTTACCATTTACTTTGTTTCTATACCTAAGTGTAAGGAATTAACCACTTGGTAAAAAGAACAGTAGGATTTCCCAACCTTAGAGCGCAAAATATGAACACAGTGCAACCTTTATGACTTAAAGAGTAACTTCCTGTACCCATATAACTACATAAAAGACTACTCTGAAGTCTTGCCTAAGAGCCATCCAGATACAGTGCATCTGGAAAGTTTTTAGCGTCCTTTCCACATTCAGTCATTTTAAAGCCTTTTCACAAATGTTAATACATTATTTTCTTTTTTCAAAAATTTGCACCCAATATCATTTAGAAAATTGCTGTGTTTACATTGACATAAATGTTCGGAATATCGGAAGGTATATATATATATATATATATATATATATATATATATATATATATATATATATATATATATATATATATATATATATATATATATATATATATATATATATATATACATATATACATATATAAATACATATATAAATGTATTATATACAGCTAATCATTATAGTATTATTGCTTTAAGGTAAGAACACGTCTCAAATTGTGTGATCTGGTAGCAGATTTTTAATTATAGATACAAAAAATTAGGAAAACCTGTGGGCCAGATACCAAATACCTGACTGATTTAGAAACACATCCCCTAATTCATGGTTAATAGAGTGATTTTCATCTCAAATTGACTAAATAATTTCAATGCTCTTTATTTGTTGGTGATACAACTGGAACTGAGCCCCTGACAAGAAAATCTGATATGTTTTTAAACATTAATGACCATTAATGATCCTGCACTAACAGTTTTTCATTCATTTAATTCATTTCTTTAGATAGCGCCAACTCACAATACATTTATCTCAAGGCGCTTTGCATAGACAATTGACTAGAGTCAAGCAGTCAGATTGGTTAAAGGTTTTCTATCTAAGGAAACCCGTCTGATTGTATTAAGTCATTGACTTTGCAGGATTCGGTTCTCCTGGATGAGCATGTAGTAGAAGTCTTCACTTTCATTATGCAGTTGACGCTACAGCAATCACCAATATATACAGTATAACACTTTAAAACTACTCTGCTTTGTTGAATTACTATCAATGTGTGTCAGTTTACATAGTATTAACATCAACCTGGAAGAATCAAAGGATCATGGAATCAGTCATGGTGAACTTTAGAGAAATTCAATTGTCAGAATTGGTTTGTGTTAGTTTTTCCCAGGTTTTTTTCTATCAATTATATTTCTGAACATTTGATTAGAGATATGCAACAAACCAATTCTCCTTTCATATTGCTCATTTAATGGATTTTGGAGTTGTATTGACTTAAAAGTGAAGTATGAATTGGGAAGATTGTTGGTTTCAAGAATTGTTGAGAGGTAATGCCCTTTTCAGATGAAAGCACTGAAATTATAAATACAGGGGTTGACGTTAAGGATTTTTACCACTTGCCCTTTGGGCAAGTGGCTTTCACTTTTCATTTGCCCAGAAACAATTTTTACTTGCCCAGTATAATGTTTGATAAATATAGTTCCTAATATTCATTTTTGTATATATATCAATGAAACATGTTTTTTTTTATGTTTTTTGTAATTCAGTAAGTTTCCAGGTTCCTGGTGTGTATATACATGTGTCAGATAATGAACTTAAGCCTACATTACCGTGTTAACATGCCTTTCAATCCTGCCTTCACATTCTTTTCAAACTAAACTTTGCTTTAAACTGTTGTGTGCTTGGAAAAATATAAATTGTAATGTTAAAAATCTAAAAAAAACTTACACTACTACTACTCACCAATTTGACATGTTTAGCTCTATAACATTTAAATGCACCACTCCAATGTCTAAGAGAAAAAAAATTGATGAAAATTTTTTAATTTATGACAGCTGTACAGAAGACTGCCATATGACAGAAATATTTACACTGTGCGCTTACAATTATTATTTTCCTAATCGCTGACTGATCATTTTTAATCTAGCGTGTATTATAGTATAGATTAAATTCATCTTCCAGCTGCTGCTCTGCAGAATTCCCTCCCTAAGAGCTGAATCCTGGTTGTTTGGCTTTATCATCATCTTTCCACCAGTTCTCCACGGCTTCTGTGGCGCTGAATTTGTCCATATCTGGTCCTTTAACGGGCCAATTCCCGGACAAAAATCACGCCATCTAGCGGAAAATCACGTGGCTTTTTCAAATCACGCGAGAATGTGTACAAAACAACAAAAATCGCGCCGGCAAAGCTTGTGGGTCATTTTCAGCGAATGTCGGTGATTTTAAAGTAATTTTGAGTGATACATTTTTTTTTTTTGCGATCATTGCACTTCCCCGGGGGGCAAATGCAATGAAATTTGTACTCTCCCGACAAGAGTAAAAAAAACTACTTGCCCCGGTCGATCGGGCGATGGTTAACATCGAGCCCTGAAATAGATTGTAATTAGATATATAAGTAATTAATAACACATATTGTCTGCATGTGCTAAATTTGTAATTTTACTGGAGTGTCTGAATTAGTTACTTATTCATGCATTATTAAGTAAATAAGTGCCAGACAAACCCACCGATTCCTTCCCAGTCCATTACTGTAGAGTTGGGGTTGTGTAGTTGGTTAAAGAGAGCATTGATTATATCAGATCGGTTGGTTCTAGGATCCAGACAAAGCTGACCCGCTGGACACAACCCATCCTCATCTACCTCCCGTGTGAAGACAAATGGGTGTTCCACCAACGTCACCACACGGAGGCGGTGTCCCTCAACGGAAAGTCCTGGCCTCCAGAGTCCTCCCAAATAGCCATCTCCCTGGCCGTCCCCTCCTCTTACTCCAGCTCCAAGACCTTGTCCCTGGCTGTTACCAAGTCCTCCCAAAATGCCGCCCTCCAGCTCCAGTCGTCCACGGGTCCACTGTCCTACAGTAACCCAAGCTGGTTGACCCAGGGCTCCTCTTTTAAGACTCCATACATGGAAGAGTTGTGAGGAAAGGACTCTAGAAACATATGCATCCACTTGGATCAGTCCTGTCGAGCCAGTGAAGGAAATGTTGGACAGAAACCTTCAATGAAAGAACAAAAAAAAATCAGCCAGAAACAAATAATGATATATTTCAAATTTAAAATTAAATTTAAAATTAGAAATATAAGCAGAAATAACCACCATTTCACTTTATCGAAAGGTAAAATTTTTACCCTGGCACAGATGGGCTCACTCTGATTGTAGAGCCCTGGCAGGTCTAGTCTCAAATGGGTAATTGAATCTCCCAGACGGTCGTAATTAAAAGTTAATGCAGTGCAGTGAGGGTCTTCTCCTATCTGCCAGTCCATACAAACAGTCATTGCTATTCATCTCACTCTCCTGGTGGCCCAGCACTGATCTTTACTGTGGAATATATTAAGAAGAGCAATCCCCATTCATACATGCATCTTCCCTGACCTCTCTTAAATCGCAGTGGAATTGCTAGGTCATGTCTTAGCATTTGGTCACAAGGACACTGTCAGGTAACTTTTTAACAAGGCATGGGAGATCTACTTAATCTTAATTAGTTGGGAGTTGTAAGATGTTTGCAAATTATGGAAACAGTTTGACAAATGTTAAAGTAAAGTTCATAGCATTTTTTGCCATGCCGTGCCATGGAGGTCACGGTCAAGCCTGGAAATGGCAAGTTTTCCCTGCTGCTAATGGGAAATGGGTGTTCAAGTTTTTGATCATAAATGCAGTGTATGCAAACGACCACACTAATCTGATCATGTGGGTCATTTATCTCTTCTCCCTGCCAAATTTTAAGGGTGTGTGTGTGTTCCTGCTTTGGAGTTTGGTCATCACCATACATTACGTTAGAATTTACATCATCATCCCCATATATCTGATGAACCTGATTAAATGCCTCTGTCTCATCCCACATTAACTTGTGTTTTGTCATCAGCAGCTCCCTCTGCCTCTTTGACCATAAAGTGAAAGAGCTTGCATTGCCTTAAGATGAAATCGCTCATGGTAATAGTGCAGCTGAATCATCATATCAAACAGACAGCAGATTCATCAAGCCAACCCACTCTAGACTCATACTCTAATGGGTTCTGCTAGCCAAACATAGAGGGAAAATAAATAAATTAACCACAAAGTAAGTTTAACTTTATATTTCCTATCTGTGCAGGATAATACAAAACTATTTTCTCACACTTAGTGACAAATTTGGATAGGACTGTGCTGCAATACGGTGGTAGCCAAAGAGTTGAGGTGTGAAATATGAAACATTTACAAGCAATACCACCATGTCCTTGTTTCAGCAGGTTATGTTGTTGTTCTGGGCTAACAGCAGAAGTTAAAGAATGATCGTGGATGTCAAACCAGCCTGATGAGTTTGCCTGTAGTGTCAGAGAGGGATGACTTCCTCTCACTAACACCTGGTCCCGGTTTACTTGGCCAGCCTGAATGTCAGCAAAGCGGTCAGTAAGTGATGACTCTATAAGAGAACCCAGGCATGTCCCTCTGCCTATTATCACTCCATCTCTTTTGGTTTGTAGGGAAGTTTACTCCCTCTGTCTTTTTTGAGTGCTGTGGATGATACAAGACTTGCTTGTTTCGACTGTTTTAATCTCTTCTGTGGAGATAAGAATCAGTGTGGCAGCTGTGTCGAGTGAGATTGAACTGACTGGCAGATCTCACTCTGATAACAATAGCCCTCTATCTGTCTCCCTCCCTTTAGTCCTCCCCCACATCCCTTTTTCTTACAAGCTTTTCTTTGACTCTGTTTCGGTGTTACCTTTAGCTACTTCCTACTTCCTCATCTTTTATCTATGTACTTGTCTTTGACCAGCTTCTTGTCTTTCTTTAATGTATTTTAGGATCTTTCAAGTCGGAGTTTCGAAAAGAACAATATGAACATCAATACTATGACTTTACCTTCATTGCTCCACAGTTTTGGATTTGAAATTACAACATTTTTCTTTTACTCCTTTGCCGCTTCCTCACATGCTCATATCTCCAGACATTTTCTCTCTCCCTCCTTGCCTTTCCCACTTTATCCCTTAGGGCATTGAGCTGTTAATTGCCTCTTCCATGTGGAAGTCTCACACTTCCCTCAGCTTTGTTAGCATTCTCCTGAGCAATACAAGGCCAGGCTGTTGGAGGGGAGGGATAAGAATCAGGCAGTATGTGGGAAGAGCATTGAGTGTAACTTTGCGGGTTCACATAGTTTGATAGTGCGACCCCTTTTATCAGTTTCTTTCATAGCAGAATAAAGGTCACTAAGGCTATATTGCAAGCAGTATAATTATAAACAGCCCAATCTAAAAGTCCTTAGACTACATCCTGAGTGACCCTCCACAGAGTGATTGTGACTTTCCCTAGTGTCCTGACAAAATCAAGGGGGACTATAAACCACTACTAAGTTCTTTACTTTTCAGAGAGCAATCAATAGTCAATCTAAACTCTTCACAGCACACCAAGTACAGTATTTGCAGTGGCACCAATCATCATATACTCTGTAACTAAAACTGAAATTTAAAGGAATAGTACACCCAAAACATGATTAGCCTTCATTTTCTACTCACCCCCATGCTGAACAACACTCTGGAGTACTTTTTTGATATCTCAAATGCATCTGGAGATCTGGGAGGCTTCTTGCGGTCTGCTGACATTCAAATAATGGAGGTCTGTGGCGCCCGAGGCAGAAAGGTCCATAAAAGTCCACAAAAAACGTGTCAATATTCCTCCATACTGCTCGTCCAATGTATTCCAAGTGTCCTGAGTGGGTAGCGTCCATAATTTACTCGAAACGAAGTAATTTAGAATGTTTTTAGAGCATAAACAGTAGTGTATAGGATTTCCTAAAAGCGCGTTCACGAGTCTACGGAAACCGCGGCAGACCACACCAGACGAAAGTGTGCATTCAGCGTCTGCTCTGCTGATAATGCAAGCGTAGAAGAAGAAATGTGCTGTTTACATTTGCAAAGAAAGAAACAACGAAAGAAAAATGTCTGAGGACTTCAGTGTTGAGGAAGAGCATGAGTTCTTTGCCGAGCTGAATGCGCACTTTCGTCTGGTTTGATCTGCCGCGGTTTCCGTAGACTCGTGAACGCGCTTTTAGGAAATCCTATACACTACTGTTTATGCTCTAAAAACATTCTAAATGACTTTGTTTCGAGTAAATTATGGACGCTACCCACTCAGGACACTTGGAATACATTAGACGAGCAGTATGGAGGAATATTGACAAGTTTTTTGTGGACTTTTATGGACCTTTCTGCCTCGGGCACCATAGACCTCCATTATTTGAATGTCAGCAGACAGCAAGAAGCCTCCCAGATCTCCAGATGCATTTGAGATATCAAAAAAGTACTCCAGAGGGTTGTTCAGCATGGGGGTGAGTAGAAAATGAAGGCTAATCATGTTTTGGGTGTACTATTCCTTTAACTGAGATTTGGTAACAATAGCTTTGTTCTTGGAAACTTAATTATAAAGTAAAATACAGCTTTTAAACAGACAGTAGTTAACCCCAACAATTTTTGGAAATGCCACCCAACTGGTCAGTGCCAATAGACGTTGAGTGGTAAGGCGTTGTTGGGATGAGTTAGTGATAAGTGGGATGAGGGCAGTGGTGGCCTAGTGGTTTAGGCCTTGCGCTTTGATCCCATAGATTCTGAGTTCAAGCCCCACTCCCATGGACTGCCACTCTGGCTCCCTGATTAAGACCCTTAACCTCCACATTTAACCCAGCTCCAAAAGGATGGGCTAAATACAGAGAGTGAATTTTGTTGCTTTGCACTTGTGACAATGTAATGACAATAAAGTTGAATTCTATTCTATTCCATGAGTGGTAGCAGGGGATATGGTCAGCATGCTGTAGCTAACTTTGTTTAGCTAAGCATGCAGACTAGAGAGTACAGGGACTCTTGTAGTTACACCTAGATCTTTTGTGATTTTTCAGCCATCTTTTCAGTTGAAAACATAGAGCTTACTCTGGAGGCATCTATCCCTGACTGAGGTGCTGCAATATTTAAACATGAGGCTTTGGTGTAAAATGCCTGTAGCTGTTATCAAGGCATATATCGGCACATATCCTTTTGATCAATAAGAAAAGACAACTGTATTGATTGCCATTCAACTAACAGGGAGGAGGTTTTAACACAAATATAGCCAAAATAAAAAACCTCACATGAAAATATAAGAGCACAGTGACATTAAAGGAGTAACCCAGATGTAGTTAATACAGTTTGAATGCAAAAAAAAAAAAGGATTTTTGGGTGAGTTACAGTATACTCAATGTGAATCATGAAAAATTAATAGGGATTAAAAAGAAAACAAAACAAAAGCTAACAACGCTGTAATGAGTAAGCTGTTCTAGCAGGTGGCATTAATGTCAGCCACCATTTTTTTTTAATTTGGGCTGTAAGTGGCTAATTGTTATTGTAACCCAGCAATTGCCTAAAGTGCAAAATGATAGAGCAGAATGAGAATCCACTGACAATATTATTGGTGTTTATTTGTGCTTCTAATGGTTCCTCTCAGTAACATCCCATCCTTGTTGTTTGTCTGAACTGGCATTCAAGGCAAACCTGTATTCATTGTCTGATGAAGAGTTTTTTAGTTTGCAGGGAATTTACAGAAAAAGCATTCAATGCTTCACACAGTATCAAGCCACAACAGCCAAGCTGGCTACATGGGATGTAAGTCAGTCTGGTAAGGCACAGACTTTGGTCTAACACAGACCAGAGCAATCACAGGAGGGAGGAAGCAGTTTATACTTATGCCAAAATTACCCATAATGCAAGTGCGCGTTTCTGTAACAATAAGAGTCAAGATTGCAGCCTCAATGGAGTGATGTTTTAATGATGCCATTTTGTTTGTCCACAATGAGCTCGATATATCTTTAAAAATTTAAAAACGGGCTGCCGTAAGAGCTTTGTGTTTAAAAGAAAGACATTTTTGCATTGAATCTATAGTTATCTGATTTAATGTAATTAGTATCTGCTCACTCTGTGAGTCACTGAGGTCAGACTCTACCAGCTTCTTTTCAGACACAGCGTATCAGTCTAGCTGGCCAGGCTACACTATATCAGCTACATGGGGCTTATCTGTGTTTTTAGAAGTGTGTTATTATCCAAATGTGAGGATTATAGTTTTCTACTCAAGTGAAAACATTATTATTTAATAGGTACCTTTCTGCTCTGTGTGTGTCTTTACATCACAGAGAGCACCTTGGCAGATTTTTGAAAGCTGTCAGGGTCGTTTCTAAAAGCCGCAGGGATTGAGCTGATAGTAACAGCACGGACAAACACACAAAACCCTTTGGTGTCAGTCTGTGAATCTATATGTCACATAGACCTCCTCCCCACCTCTGGTATGAGAGTGCTGTTAAGAAATTAGCGCCCCTATTGTGCAGAGGACAGACAAGGGCAACAGCCAGAGCGTGAAGAGCCATGAACAGGGTCTGGAACTTACCACTAAAAGCCAAAGTGTCACTCAGAAAGTTAATAAGCATACTGACACCTAGTAGTGGGACCAGCTGAATTTAATTGTAGTTTGTCAGTGTGATCAATGCGTTGTAAGATGATTGTATAACTGCTCACTTGTGGGAATAAATGTTGCAGTTTAGGCTCCCGGTAGTAATAATTTTACAGCAGAAACAGGAGTTTTGCCCAGAGGCTGTCTGCAAGAGTTAGAAAGCGTATTTGAGGATGAAGCAAGCCATGACAAGAACTGCTGCTAGCCCTACATCATCTGAGAGATGATATTAAATGGTTGGAAAAACATATGCATTTCCCATTTATCTTTAACAAGACTAAGAAGTGTAGGTCAAGGGAAGTAGCAGATATAAGACTTGTAAAGAAAAGTCTAGCATAATTATTAAAACTGACTTTAACATACTACATAAAATCTATTTCCTCAACTAAACCAAAATGTTTTTTCAACTTCACTTGTAAACAACGGAATGATTAATTCAATAAATGCAGGTTGGGCAATATACCTTGAAAGGCATTTTTTTGACAAAGTGTGGATGCTTTTACGGGTTTGATCATTAAAGGTTTGTGCATAAAACAACTATTATTGTTTTATGCAGTCAAAATATGAATATGTTATTTAGTCATTTGTTATGTTATTTAGTCAGGATACCTGCCAGTAGCCCAGACTATACAACTTATTCATAAATAACACGTTTATTTTGTTTACTATGTAGTTCATAAAGGACTACTCCCCCATATTTAAATATTTTTTCTAATAAATTGTATAAATAGATGCATGATATTGCTATCTAAATTTCCCTGGAATAATGTAACTGAAACTGAACACACGTTTTAGGTATAGGCAATTTGCCATATGTTAAAATCCTGCTTTTATGTCCAAAACCACCTGTTAATTGCCCTCCTCAGGCTAAGCAGTGGTTACTGCATCTTTTTTTTTTTGAAAAATTAAAATAAATCAGAATTTTCTACATTATCAAAATTTATAGAAATTGGTTAAAAAAAACAAGTCTGCATCATATGTCAAGTCTAATATGATAATTTGTCTTTAGTGTTGTGTCTGTCAATCACATCTAAATGCTATGGGGAAAAAAACCTTAATTTGGTAAATGATAAAAGATACAAAGAAACAAAAAAATACATTAAATCTGAACAACCAGGAGTTTCCATGTCTTTCCATGTCTGTCTCAATGGTTCACAAGACATTGTGTATCAATATTTTAGACTGGACCAACCAGCATTAAAAAGCAATTGCAGTTGTGTAGAGCTTACTTCTGTGTTGTAAACCTGAACTTGAGTCTGCCCTGACAAATAATTTCCTATCACCAACTATCATTTGGTTAGAGTATCTGTTAACTGAACAGCGGTTTGTAGTTGAAGCTAGAAAGAGCTTAACCAACCAAGAGCTTTTATGGAGGAGATGCTTGCAGTTTGCTATTAGCCATGTAGGGGTTGCTGCACACATGAGAAGATGCTATTGTCAGCTGAGACCAAAACTAAATGTTTTGGGTTTAACAGAAGCACAACTCTTTTCGGAATCTGTCATGATCTCTGCACTGATGCCTTGTGTAATCACTCATTTCACACATCTGGTTAGCGCTGTCTAGTTCTCATTATCTGCTAATCTTATCCACCTGGATTAGTCACTATATACTTTAACCAGCCTTCAGACCAGTCATCAGTGCCAGATTTTCCCGAGCCTTTGGAGAGACTTATTCCAGCGTTCCTGTGCTCTGACTACCTGATACTGACCTGTTCTCAACCTCTGAGCCTTCCTGTTTCCGTCTGTTCTGTTAGCCTGATATGACTACCTGACTGATCTCTGCCTGCTTGTGTACCGACAAGAACTGTTTCCCGACCACTGGGCCTGCCTGCCCTTGTCCAGCCTGTCAACCCCACCTTATACTGTTCCATGGAGCTGCGACCTGACTCTGTCCTGGATTCTCCTTCAGCACCTCACCACATCTCTGACAACCTTCCAGGTCACCAACATCGGCTTTGGTTTTGCCCTCCGGATCATTCTGCCTACATTCGTGTGCTCGGTTCTGATCTCATGCCTGTCCTGCACCCACAATACATCAGCGTCTGGGACTGTCTGTGCAGCGACCGTGGTGCCGCATAGCTGGCTGGAACCATCCTCTGTCTCTGGATTCGGACGGAACTATGAGACCAGAGACCGGTTATAAGACCGGTTCTTGCCTTAGACATCGAAGCTGCTTAGTCAGATTCTGTTATCAATAAATGCTCTGAGAAATCTAGCTGTTTTTCCGCCTTGAATATTGGGTCCTTCTGTTTTGAGTATGACAGAAATCTAAACCTGAACATATTTTTTCAACTGAAAAACCATGGTTTGAGCATAACACTGCTGTCAGGATGATTCCTTCAGTGTGAACATGAAAACGGATTAGATGTATAGGATAGGATGGATAGGATGGATTGAATACTCAGACTGGGGTAGACGTTTACTTTTGAGCAAAACAATAACCCTAAATGCAGAAACAGTTCTAAAAAGGAATAGATAAGATCAATTCCTGCGTCTGAGTGGTAGTATCTTGTACCACAACAAAATACCACAAAACAGAAACTCCTTGTTACTTTCTATTTTGTTTAAATATCCCATAATATAATAACAGTGTACCATTAGACTTGTCTTAATGTGACAAAATGTGAAAAATAATAACAAAGAGTTATACATTTTTTTTTTGTGTGTGTAATTATATTTGCATCATTGTGTGTTCATACCTGGAAAGATATTGTCCAGAAGAAGGTAGCTCATGCTTGTTTGGTTGTTCAAAGCAGTTAACTAAGTTTTGAACCAGAGCTAACTCTGGCTTCACCATGGTGGCTGCAGTGACTGCTCTTCCAATCAGCTGTAAAGCATCCCTTATGTAGAAGCTTATTGGTTTGCGTCCAACCTCCCCATAGGCCAACAGACCAAGGGGACCTCCCAGGGTGTGCAGTGAATCAGGAGATAAAGGATATCCCATGATCCACTGCAGTGCTGGAAGTGATGGTGCAAGACGCTGAGCGGCCCGCAGGACAGATGAGAGACACTCTGGATCAGATCCCATGAGGAGCACGGAGGAGATCGGTGAGGGGGAGCGCAACAAACTAGAAGAGATGATGTTCAAAGCCTCTTCTTCCATTTGATCCTCCCTCCTCTCCTCTCTTGCCTCCCCCCTTCTATCTCTACCTCCTGTGATGCGAGTCAAGTTGATGATGTCCCACAAATGCCAAGCAGGACCACTGTGCCTCTGCAGGTGAGTCAGCAGGCTGTCGCTGCCTTCATCCCATCCAGGGCAGATCACAGCTGCTCCTCCCCACCTGCCTTCTCCGCGGTTTCCTATGTCCTTGTCCCCATCTCCATTCTGTAGGACTGCCAGCAGAAGGCTGCCGAGGGTCGATGGAGGAACACGAGCTGACATTTGAAGGTGATACTGATTCTGTAAAAACAAACAAACAAACCAAAACATTTAAACAGTAACATATCAACAAAGAACAGGATACTTTAAGTGTGAAAGATCAGAGGACAGAAAAGGCAGAGAAGTGAATTAAGGCAGAGAGAAAAAATATCAGAACAGAGATTAGAATACATCTAAACCCCATTAGGGTTCATAAAAAACAAAAATAAAAACATTAACCAAACTTTAAACACAGCTGTTATAGCACCAGAGACAATAAAACAATCACTATCTATCTGGCAATTTACCACAGCGTAGATCAGAAACAATCAAACGGTCGTTTTTGCTCATTATCTCTCATTCCGAATGAAAAGGGACGTGCTGATTCAAACAAGGAGTCAATGATTCGGATCTAATCTGCAACATCACAGTTGGCTTGGCAGGAGAACAGTAGCATCCACAGTTCATCCAGGAACCTGCATTCCCAAACCCCAGTGAAAACACTGGCTTGTTTCATACTGTTCCAAAATGGATACCACAGTTGTCCTTGAATGCAGCTCACAGATGCTGAGTCCCCCCCTCCACCCATTCCACTTCCTTTGAGGGGTTCTGTATCAATTTTTCATCCTATCACAGCTCCAGGCAAGGTGGGGGGATAGCAGGGATAACCTGTAGTTTACCCTTAGATAGTTTTAGAATTGCCCTGAATGCATTCATCTCTGTTCCAATTATGACTCAACAGTTTAACAAATGACACATTAGCAGGATTGATCTTTTCTGTATTGAAATCACAGAGCCTCCTTCATAAAGAAAACAACCTAAACACCCCTAAAGATTTATGACTTGCATTAAAGTATTCTTTATTTCTTTGTTTTATGGTCATTTTTTTGTTTTTTACTTTATAATGTTATTGTGGATTTAAAGAGGCAAAATAATGGAATGCTTCTCCCGTTGCATACTTAATTGTTTCAATGAAAGGGATAATAATTCACATCTTCTGGCAAGGGTTAGGCCATATCTGTTTTTCAAATGAAACAATCATGTTTACTCCAGTCAAAACTTTAATCAGAAAAACAAACCAAAGATTAAAATCTTGATGGGAAAGAGGCGTGCCAAATGTATTATCAAACACCAGCCATACCTGAAATATTCAAAAAGCATGTTTCTGGTCAGCCATTTTTAGGTTTTACTGTTGTAATGCCAAAAAAGATTTTGATTAGATTATTATCTTTTTTTTAATGTTTTCTACTGATTCTACTTCTATTTTAGTTTTTTCAGCTTCTAAAAATGTTTTTCTATTTGCTGTAGGGTGTGAAACTTTTAGGTTTAGCTCTATGTAAAAAATATTTTTACTAGAATTCTTTGCTCCAATATGTTTTCCTGTTTGTAGAGTTAGTTTCTTGTGTGCATTTACGAGCTGCATTTGTCAGCCCCTTAAACCCCAAATCCACAATACAACACAACATATCCAAACCACAGTCAAGCAGAGGATTCTACTCATTCATCAATCACTTCCCCAAATCACAATAAGAGAGAGAGAAACATAACCCTACCTAAAGATCACAAAAGCCACCCAACAAAAATGCCAGTGTGCACCAGCTGGAGCCTGCACAAAGGACACCTCTTAGAGCATAACAAACAACCCCCCACTGCCTCTTGCAACCTAAAAACTGCAGACCTACAGAACTCACCTGCAGTCCATCGTCTGACCTATGAAGGGTGCGTATCAATACAACAGGAGAAACAAAACATCTTACTAAAACTAGACAAAAGCAACAAAAACAGCAAGATTTAAAACACATTTACTTCAAAAGAAATATAATAAATTCACAACACATCAGACTCTGTTTAGCAAACCAGGAAGTGGCATCACAAAAGACTTAGAGAAAAGTATGCTTCTTCTATTACTTCAATAAAGTCAGATAAAGATTAAGATGCTTGGAGCTGCATGCATGAACAGCCAAGGTTGTAGATGCTGATGAATAAAACCACCTCTCACTCTGACTTTAATACATGTATTCCTGGTTTATCTTTTTTATTATTTTTATCATAACAGCATAGCAACTTCTTAGAGACTTCAGGGTCTTAGTAGGATGTTTTTGTTGTTGTAGTTAAATAACCTTGCTGCAGGCTTCTACACTGAAAAAAGTAATGCAACAGTTTTTGGTATTTACTTAATCATATATAGTTACTTTAACACAATTCTTTCATGTTAGCAGGGTAGGACATAAAACAATTGTGTTAAAGTAACTAAATTTGATTAAGTAAATGCCAAAGGGGGTTGAATTCTTTTTTTCAGTGTAGTATTAAATGTTAAGTGAGTTATATGAAAAACTAAACAAGAAATGCCTCACCAATATTATGTTCTACAACATTGTGTCCTAACTGTCTATGTTTGAGCTTATTTAAATACATTTTATTATAATATATTTACCTACTTTTATTAGTGCTTGGACTATTTCTATAGGCAGTAAAGACCCATGTGAGAGGACAAAGAGTGAATTTTGTATGATAGACTCCCTTAAAATCCCGTCAAATGTCTTGTAAAATAAAAGATGTGCCTGCTCCATTGAAACATAGCAACATAAAATGTCTGTTATGCAATGCAAAATGTGACGCCAAAAGTGTGTAAACTAGGGGATGGCTGAAGCTGAATGTTAAGAATATTCAACCAATGAGAAATTTTAAGCATCCTTCTATCACAAAGCTCTACGTTTTATTCAGGCTCTGTTCGAAAAGTCCAACTTCACCACCAGGACCATGTTTTATGTCAAAATGGGACCTTTTGTTTATTAGTGAAAATCCAGATTTATACAGTGTCCACATAGAAATGATAATATACGTGTTAAAGGGGATTCCTTCGCCTTGAAAGAGTATTTTTATTAGGTGATAGATTATATTTGTTGTAAACTAATTGTTTTCGTGATGAATCCAAAAAACCTGACTTGAAATAAAAAATACAAAAAGAATATCTCAGGCCTGCAAACCTCACAGTTACATTCTCTAACAATGACAGAGTTTACCTAACCCACATAGATACACGTGAACAAACAGAGCAAGACTAAAGCTGCAGTTATCTCATTAAATCTGGAAGTATCCAACGCAGGTGGATAATAACACTTGTGAGGGCCACATTCAAACACATGAACGTGGCGCTGAAGATGAGACAAAATGAGGCGAGTTCATTCAAATGGAAATGTCCCACCGGGGGAGAACAAAGCTAACAAAGCAACACTCCACTGAAAGTCCTTAAGTCCCTGAAGACAGTTTAAGGAAAAAATTATTTGAAGTCTAGAGAATTAATGCGCCCCATGTATTTATCCTCCTGTGATGAGCCAGGTGTGTCTGCGCTGACAAGGGAATTGGATGTTGGGAGCTGATTGATGGGTGCGGATTATTTGAGAGCTGGCAGTGGGTGGTGCTACAGGTGTGAATATTTCTCATAGTCACAGGATTTCAACCAACATAAAGAGAATTTTATGAAAAGGATCAGCAAACACAAAAAGTGTGATGATAAAAGATAAACACAAAGCCCTTAAGGCAGCTGGGGGAAATTTGGTGAAAATCTGTATTCCAGGTTCTCTGGCGTGCAATCTGTCTGAATACATAAATGATTCATGAAACAATAAATCTACAAAAAATGGGATTTTAATACAAGCCTCTATTGAAGTATTGGTTAAAGCTAATCAACAACTAGACAGTAGAGCTTGTTAGACAGTCAAAGAGAGATGTTTGCTGTGCACTCATCATTGATAAATGAATCGTAATAATGCGGGACATCCCATGGATGCCTCAGCTGTTTCACTTCAGCGTTATTTCATTATTTCTCCCTCCCAATTACATCCTGCCTGACTTTTAGAAAGATTCGTAGACCATTTCAATTACAGTCCTGGTATTAAACCAGAGCTCATCTCCAGATAGATTCGCAACAAGCACAACAGTGGAATTACTTCAAACGTGAAGACGTGAGAACAATAGTAAGAGGTAACAGCAGCATTACAGTAGTTAGATGATGCTGCTGGGAGAAAAAACAAGCAAGAGGAAAGAGAGGAGGCAGATTTGGAAGCCATGATTTGACTTTTAAAAGATAAGAGGATTTATAATCTTAAGCCAAGAGTTTTAGTCCATTAGACCAGATCACATTCTGCTATTCTTGAAGAGGAGGAGGACCAATTTCTTTATCTACTGGCAATCAAATTTGACAAGCTCCAAAAGGGAGTCTGAAAAAGATATAGAAAGGACACGATCAGCTTGACTGTTAGAGCTGCAGTCATTTTTATTCTCGTTTTTCCTTTATTTTGGAAAAAAATCAGAGTGTTTCATAATACACTGCTGCATAAAACACTGACAAATTCTGTGTTTATAAAAACAGTGGGTTTTTTTTCTCTTTGTGTTACAATAGAACAAAAAATGTCTTTAATGATTTTACTCGGATATTATATATGGGATAGATCATCAAAGTTAAAGAAGTAAAACAATGTGGATTTAAAAAAGAAGAAAGATAAAGGTTAAAATGAGCTGCACAAAATAAAACCCCATGTAAATATCTGCCTTCAGAAAGAACTAAATTCATTTGTATTATTTAGTTAAGGACATACAGGCAAGATAACACGACAGATTTTTTTTAATATTTGCATTGCTTTCTCCCAAAAATCCATGTTGTTTTGAAGTCTGCACTTGGTAACCACTTCTTAAGGCTGGCCCCATGATTTTCAAGGATAAGCATCTTATTTATTTATGAGGCTGTTTTTTAATAGGTTTGGAAAATTGATAGACATTTATAAGGGAAACTAATAAACAAAACATCACAAAGACCAAAGAGCACACTACAGAGGTCAGATAAAAACTTGTTGAGAATTCTAGAGCAGGCTAGGGATGAGCTTATTAAAAACATATTTTAAGCTTTTAACATTTTACAGATTATTATTTACTCAATTAATCCGGAATTTGACACCAACAAAGCCAGGAGACACAGCAAATGTAGAAGGAGGGGCTGTGATTGGATGCTTTTGAGCTTTTTCTAACCTACAAGCAAAATGCAA